TTAGATTTACACATGGATTTTCAAAAGGAATTCTTTCAGAGCATTTATAAACATCCTGAAATAATAGTTCATTTTAACAGAATTCAGGAAGTAAAGAATCTAAATCCTTTGAAGTTTTCTGAACCTATAATTTGAGGTTACTTAGATAATAGAATAACAGAATAAGAGAGATGGAAAGAACTTTGGAGGTCTTCTAGTACATAGAACATAAAATAATAGGGTTGGAAGTGACATTACTCAAGCAGGAGACCCTATACCATTTTGGACAAATGACTTCCAATCTTTTCTTGAAAACCTCCAGTGATGGAGCACCCACAACCTCTAGAGGTAACTGTCCATTGATTGTTCTTATTGCCAGAAAATATTTCCTCACTTCTAGATTTAATGTTTCTTTAATGGTCTTTCACCCATTGCTTCTTGTCCTGCCCCTCAGGTGCTTTGGAGAATAGGTCAAACCCTTCTTCTCTATTACAGCCCTCAAGTACTGGAAGACTTCTATCATATCACCCCCTAATCCTAAATAGAATAGAATAGAATAGAATAGAATGGAGTGGAATGCAGTGCAGTGCAGTGCAGTGCAGTGCAGTGCAGTGCAGTAGAATAGAATAGAATAGAATAGAATAGAATAGAATAGAATAGAATAGAATAGAATAACAGAGTTGGAAGGGACCTTGGAGGTCTTCTAGTCCAACCCCCTGCTCAGGCAGGAAACCCTATACCACTTCAGACAAATGGTTGTTCAATCTCTTCTTAAAAACCTCCAGTGTTAGAGCGTTCACAACTTCTGGAAGCAAATTGTTCTACTAATTAGTTGCTGTAACTGTCAGGAAATTTCTTGTTAGTTCTAGGTTGCTTCTCTCCTTAATTAGTTTCCATCCGTTGCTTCTTCTCCTGCCGTCAGGTGCTTTGGAGAATAGCTTGACTCCCTCTTCTTTATGGCAACCCCTTAGATATTGGAAGACTGCTATCATGTCACCCTTCATCCTTCTCTTAATTAAACTAGACATACCCAATTCCAGCAACTGTTCCTTATATGTTTTAACCTCCAATCCCCTAATCATCTTTGTTGCTCTTCTCTGTACTCATTCTAGAGTTGCAACATCTTTTTTACATTGTGGTGACCAAAACTAGATGCAGTATTCCAAGTGTGGCCTTATCAAAGCGTTGTAAAGTGGTATTAACACTTCACATGATCTTGATTCTATTCCTCTGTTAATGCAGCCTAGCATTGTGTTGGCCTTTTTGGCAGCTGCAGCACACTGCTGGCTCATATTTAAGTGATTGTCCACTAGGACTCCAAGATCCCTCTCACAGTTACTACTATTGAGCAAGGTACCACCTGTACTGTACCTGTGCATTTGGTTTTTTCTTGACTTAAATGTAGAATCTTACTCTTTTTTAACCACTGAATTTTATTTTGTTAGTTAGAACCCAATGTTCAAGTCTGTCAAGATCCTCCTGTATCTTAAGCCTATCTTCTGGTGTGTTGGCTATTCTTGCTATTCTTGATGTCGTCTGCAAATTTGATGCATTCTTCATCTATCCCCTCATCCAAGTCCTTGATGAAGATGTTGAAGAGTAGTGGGCCTAAAACAGAGCTTTGGGGTATCCCACTGCATACTTCCCTCCATGTAGATGCCTTCTCTTTGTTAGACATTCCCTTAGTTGTTTATCGTATGGTTTAGCTCCAGACCCCTTATCATCTTTATTACTCTTTTCTGCATTCTTCCTGGGGTCCTAACATCTTTTTTGTACCTGGATGATCATAACTGGACACACATATAGTTCCATTAAGGACTACCTGCTGGGTATGGTTGGTTAGTCACTAGCATATCCATCTGAACAATGTGAAACAACAACAACAAAAAAGTAAAAGAACAGCTTCAATGACTGTAGATGCATCTTGACTTTTTTATAGCCCCTTATTTGCTACACATAGTCCTGTACAAAGAGGAAAAATACATGAGAAAATATGTAAAAAAGGCACAGCACTAAGATTTTGACTTCCTAGAATCCAAATAGATATCACCAAATGTAGGAAAAAATATTGCACTGGCTAAGAGATGGTTTCATATATAGGTGGTCCTCGACTTATGGCTACAATTGGAACCAGGATTTCTGTTGCTAAACAAGGCAGTTGTTCAGAAAGCCACACCCAATTTTACAACCTTTTTTTGCCACAGTTAAGCAAATCACTGCAGTTGTAAATTGAATCTCGCTTCCCCTATTGACTTTGTTTGTTGGAAGCCAGCTTAGGAGGTTTGTAAATGATCACATGACCTTGGGATGCTGCAACTGTTGTAAATACCTGCCAGTTGCCAAACATCCGAATTTTGATCATGGGGATGTGGCAAGAGCTGTAATTGCTAGGACAAGTTGTAAATCACTTGCCAGGACTATTGTGTTTCAAAGAAATGATTGTAAGTCAAGGACTATCAGTGTTTCCCCTCTGCTCATTGCTCATACTGGGGCAAATTAGTTTTGGAAGGAGTCTGAAAAAGGCCCTTAGGGAGAGAATAGAGGGGGGGGGACTTAGAAAGAAGATACAGAGATGCAACCACATTTTTGCATTCTGTTTTATCCCTTCAATCAATCCTGAACGAGCTATTAGGAAGCCCAGAATTGCAAGTAATATTTTCAGTAGATTGAGAGCCGTCAATGCAACTTAAAAGTCATTTTAACCAACTCTAGTCCCATTAATTTCATTGGGTCATTTTTAAATATACAGCAAGGTAAAATGTATAGGATAGTCCACAATTCTTCTTGAGCTTGCTGCTATTATTTATTTCATAGCACCTGCAGAGAAAATTATATTAAAATATTGCTTCCGGCTTCGTAGAATCATTGATGAAATCAGTGGAAAACAAGCCATGCAAATTTGCTTAGGTCTCAGACAATATCAAAGGCATCAGATCAGTGCTTCTTTGGGGACTCAACTTTGTGTGGACTTCAGGCTGGGTGGGGAATTGTGGGAGATGAAGTCCACACAGCTTAAAATTCCCAAGGCTGAGAAATATTGCTTTAGATTCTTTCGATCCATCCACAATCTTAATAATAATAATAATAATAATAATAATAATAATAATAATAATAATAATAATAATAATAATGATGGTGGTGATGATGATGATGATGATGATGATGATGATGATAAAGTTGGAAGGGACCTTGGAGGTCATCTAGTCCAACCCCCTGCTCAGGCAGGAAACCCTATACCATTTCGGACAAATGGCTGTCCAGTCTCGTCTTAAAAACATCCAGTGTTGGAGCATTCACTGCTTCTGGAGGCAGGTTGTTCCACTGGTTAATTGTTCTAACTGTCAGGAAGTTTCTCCTTAGTTCTAGGTTGAAACTTTATTCTTTTTAAATATACATCATGCACACAATACATGGAAAGTAACATTTTTACTTTTTGGTCCACGTTATGGACACAAACATACCTATCTCTGAGCTTGGAGAAAGAAATCAAAGAGGTTTAATAGTATCAGGATTCATTTATTTAATTGCAAAGGTGATGAGCTAATATGACTGTCCTATTGCTTCCTTTAACAATTCTTGCTTTAATTTTTCTAAATATGACCACATAGCAAAATTAAATTGAGACTGGATATTCACATTTTCTATCTGAATAGCCTTTAAAAAGAAAAAAAAATGTGATGAACCAGAAAAGCTTTGTTATTATATACTAACCAGTCAGTGCATGGCACATTTTATTTCTATAAAACTATTACAAAATATTCAAAAATACATTTTAGTAAATTGACAGCAGTTATTTATCAGTTTATTAATGCAAAACATCATTTCCCTGCATGTACAAACTATTCTCCATTCTCATCATAATAGCCAACCTGTGCACGTTTTAAAAAATATTTTCTCATAAATTTCTTCTTGATTTTGAAGATAAAAATAAGAATTTCTTCCACCTCCCCACTGAATAAAGATGTGTAACAGTCTTGAGTTTGAAGAATGTGGATGAAAGCGTGCTATTATTTTTATACAAAACAAAATATTTCAGAGGCAATAGAAACATATAGAAGATGACATTACATTTCATATTATTTAAATTAAAATAATATATTCTCATATCTTACATTATTTAAAAAAATGAAATGTGACTGTTAGGTATTGATCTCTCTTTCTCTCTCTCTCTCTCTCTCTCTCTCAAAAAAAAAGAATTTACAATTCTGTGTATAAAAATATAATTTACGGATTCCCTCTCCCCCTTCGTTGTGTCTTTTGTTCTGAGACTGGCTATTGGGAAAAATCAAATTGGGGGGGGGAGGTCTGCAGGGTCTGTCAAAAAAAATCAAAATGACAGCCATTAAGATATCATCAAAACTCCACCTGTTGTTTTTTTTTTTGTAAAAAGTAGGTGGAGCTTCGATTACATCCTCTCGTCCACCATCTTGATTTGTGTTCACTGCTCACTGCGGACACCCCTGAGCAAATCCATGGATAGTTGGAAGAAGGAGAGGCTTTTCACTTTTCGAAATTCTGGACATACATGATACATAGAAAAATAGAACTCTGTGCAGTTTTGCTAGGCAGCACAAAATAATTTGCTTTTTCCTGTGAGTGTACAATTCACATGATAATAAATTATCAAAGAAACTATTTAAGGCTCTTGAAGTTGGGTTCATATTCCTTAAAACATCTATTTCAAAATACCAAACAAATAAATATCCAAGAGATGAGGACAACAAAGCAGACGGACAAAAAAAATATAAATCAAATAAAAATATAATATATATATTTATATTTATAAACTAAAACAAAAACTTCCTGGGTTCTTCCTGTTTCTTGAAGTCTACTTTGGACTGTCCTACTATTATTGTTAAAATTTCTCTTTCTTTCTTTCTTTCTTTCTTTCTTTCTTTCTTTCTTTCTTTCTTTCTTTCTTTCTTTCTTTCTTTCTTTTTTCTTTCTTTCTTTCTTTCTTTCTTTCTCTTTCTTTCTTTTTTCTTTCTTTCTTTTTTCTTTCTTTCTTCATCTTAGTTCCCACCCCACCCCATTGGTACTATTTTAATCTTCAGAAGGGTATAAGTGGACTTGCCAGCTGTCACTCTCAGCTGGCCATGCCCAATGGGTGCATCATCTCAGAACCCAAAATCCAGCGGCCAATGTAGTAGAGGAGGCGGGAGTACCAGTGGACTCCAGCCAATGAGGAACCCTCTTCGGGTACAGCAGCTGGAAAGAGGAGAGGAGAGGAGAGACCCTCTGGATTCAACACAGCCAAGGCCGCATGAGCAATGCGGAAAGGCGCAAACGCCCAGTGAGCCCAGCTGTGCTCCTCAATGACAGCATAACAGGAAGCCAGCACCTGGTTGATGAGAATGGTGCCCTGAGCGGTGAGTGGGGCATAAGCCCCCGAGGACTCCTCCTTCAGGGACACGCTGTGCACTGCCGCTTGCAACAGTGTCTGACCCCCTTGGGCCAGCACGTAGATATGTTGTCCAGGCTGCACATGGCTGGCAAAGATAGGCTGGGGTTGGGAATGGGAGTGATTGTGTGGTGGGGCCACGAATAGCAGGTGGGCAGCAGTGAGCAAGAGGCGGGTCTGGGGGGTTTGGGTCTCAATCACGTAGAAGAGTTTGTGGACAGGAGGGTCCTCTCGGTCCAGGAAGGCTAGGAATTCGCTGTAGAACAGCTGTCCGTGCACATCTGCTGCCAGCACTCGATCACCTGGGCGAAGGTCTTTCACCAGCTTGGTGCCTCCTCCTTCCAAGTTCACCCAGGCGGACCCAGGGAAGCAGCCACCCGATTTGGCAGCCACCGAGTTTTCTGAGAGAGGGAGACAGAAAGCAACATTAGAGAAGAGCCAGGAAGGGAATAAAGAAAAGCCTAGCTAGGCAATCATTTCTAGCAGAAGCAAACAATGTGGGGATACCAGGCTCCATATAATAGAATAGCAGGGTTGGAAGGAACCTTTGAGGTCTTCTAATCCAACCCCCTGCTCAAGCAGGAAACCCTATGCCAGGGGTAGGCAACCTTGGCTCTTTTATGACTTGTGGACTTCAATACCCAGAATTCCTGAGCCAGCCATGCTGACTCAGGAATTCTGGGAGTTGAAGTCCCCAAGTCATAAAAGAGCCAAGGCTGTCTACCCCTGCCCTATGCCATTTCAGACAAATGGTTGTCCAGTCTCTTCTTAAAAACTTCTGGAGGCAGGTTGTTCCATTGATTAATTGTTCTAATTGTCAGGAAATTTCTCCTTAGTTCTAGGTTGCTTCTCTCCTTGATTAGTTTCCACCCGTTGCTTCTTGTCCTGCCTTCAGGTGCTTTGGAGAATAGCTTGACTCCCTCTTCTTTGTGGCAGCCCCTGAGATACTGGAAGACTGCTATCATGTCCCCCCTCGTCCTTCTCTTTAATAAACTAGACATACCCAATTCCAGCAACCGTTCCTTATATGTTTTAGCCTCCAGTCCCCTAATCATCTTTGTTGCTCTTCTCTGGACTCTTTCTAGAGTCTCAATATTTTTTTTACATCGTGGTGACCAAACTGGATGCAGTATTCCAAGTGTGGCCTTACCAAGGCATTGTAAAGTGGTATTAACACTTCACGTGATCTTGATTCTATCCCTCTGTTAATGCAGCCCAGCACTGTGTTGGCAGTTGTAGCACACTGCTGGCTCATATTTAAGTGATTGTCCACTAGGACTCCGAGGTCCCTCTCACAGTTACTACTATTGAGCCAGGTACCTCTTATCCTATACCTGTGCATTTGGTTTTTCTTGCCTAAACCTAGAACCTTACTTTTTTCATCACTGAATTTCATTTTGTTAGATATCTTACTGACTTTTTCTTCACAGGATCATCTATATCAGATTCTATGACATTATATCATCTTCTGGTTTCCTTCTGTACAACCTGACTGAAAAGAGATTCCATCCTGTCTATTCTCCCTTCCTCCCTCCCCCCTCCCTCCCTCCCTCCCTCCCTCCCTTTATCTATCTATCTATCTATCTATCTATCTATCTATCTATCTATCTATCTATCTATCTATCTATCTATCTATCTATCTATCTATCTATCTATCTATCTCTATTCTAGATAGGGGGTAAATGGAATAATTAAAGCAAATTGTGGCAAAGATAGAAGATACTTTAGGACAGGGGGTCTTCAAACTTGGCCCTTTTATGACTTGTGGACTTCAACTCCCAGAATTCCTCAGCCAGCGTGAAGTCCACAAGTCATAAAAGGGCCAAGTCTGAAGACCCTGTTAGGATATCTTGAGAGAAATTGCTGCAACACTGTGTTTGTCATGCTGGCTGGGGAATTCTGGGAATTGAAGTCCAAACATCTAAACATTGCCAAGATTGAGAAATTGAGAAATATTAGTTCAACAGATCATTGAATCCTGATGGCATCCATCCAAGAGTTCTCAAAAAAAACCAACAACCAACCCTCAAAAGAGGAATTGCTCTAATTTGTCATTCAAATGAGGCTCAGTGCCAGAGAACTGGAAAGTAGCCAGTATGATTTAAAAAGGGACCCAGAGGAGATCCAGGAAATTATAGGCAGGTTCCAAAAAAAAATATGGTAAAAATAATGAAAACAAAAAATGACTATGCATACAGAGGATCAAGCTGGCCAGGAAGAAATCAGCATGGGATCCACCAAGGTAAATCCTGTCCAGCCAACCCACTATTGATTTTGGAGAATGCCAGCTGGTCCATGGATGGAAGTGATCTTGCTAACATTGTGTATTTAGGTTTTCGAAAAGCCTTCAGAAAAATCTGTTCATCAAAAGCTCCTAGGAAAGCTTGTCAAGTATGGGGTGACATGATTTGGCCTTCTGTGTATTGTTGTTTAGGTTACAAACAGAAAACTATGAATACAAATAAATGGCCTTTTTTTTAATGGACAGAAGTAAGATATGGAGGCCCTCAAGTGTTAGAATTAGTTAAAATTATTCAAAAACTTAAGAAGTGAGCTGGACAACTTTTCCCTAACTTTACTTTATGCTCTGAGCCATCTGAAACTATCCAAGAAAAAGATCTTGGATCATAGTTGGTAGCTCAAGATAACAACTCAGTATGCAGCTGTATTTCTACACCTGTGCTATGAATATAGCTGTACTTGAAAAAAATATACAAGTAGCCCTCAATTTACGACAATTGGGATCAGAATTTCTGTTGCTAAAAAGGAGATTGCTAAATGAGTTGCATCTGATCTTACAACCTTTTTTGTCATGCTTGTTAAGGGAGCCGGTGCAGTTGTTAAAGGAATCATGTAGTTATTACATGATTAAGTAGTAATTAAGCAAATCTCCCACTGACTTTGCTGGTCAAAAGCAGGCTGGGAAGGTTGCAAAGGGGGATCACATGACCCCAGGACACCACAACTATTGTAAATGCATGCCAATTGCCTGAATTTTGATCACATGACTGTGGGGATGTAGCAATGGTTGTAAATGAGAGGACCAGCTGTAAGTCACTGTTTTCAGTGCAGTTGTAACTTGGAATGGTTGCTAAATGAATGGCTGTAAGTTGAGGACTACCTGTATAGCAGAAGTATATAAAAAAGTACGCCACGAGGTAACCAAGGTTAAAAAGTTGGAGATACTTTGGCCTAGTAGGATGATACGATTAAAGGGAATAAAATCATATTTAGCATGGTGACAATTGACTAGAAGTTCTTAAATATCTCCCCTCACTCAAAATGCTAAGGCAGGGCCATCCAATGAATCTAAACTAATGTAATCTGATGTCTAAAAAGGAGATTTAAAACAGAGCGGAAAGAAGAACTTTTTCCAACGGCAGGTAATTAACCTGTGAAATTCACTATCACAAGATGTGGGAACGGCTGCTATGGGCAACTTTAAAAAGAAAAAGAACACATGGAGTTTAATTCCATCATCATGAAGACTCAATTACTTGTAGGTTGTGAGCATTGTGCATTCCAAAATCAATTGCAGAACCAGAATGGGGAGTGCCAGGGGTCTCCATCGTTGTGAAGGGTGCTTGCTGGATTCCTTAGCAATTCCTATCAAAGTCCAGCAGGTCTGTTCTGTATGCTTATTCGGTATTACATTCCTGGGATCATGACAAAGACTTCCCCATCTCAAGAAATTTTTATATAAACTGGCTATTAGCTTAACAAAGATGTTCTGCTACCAGTCTCCAACCTCATGGTTAATCCTGTGCAAAAAGGGAGCTTGCTTATGGGATAATACAATCTACTCTGTCTGGCTCACTTCCAGTTTTGCTTCTATTTCTCCTCTTGTAATTATCATTATCATCATGCATTCCTCTGTGGAAAGGGAAAACCCAGGGCTTAATCTAAGGAGGAATCATTTTCAGAAGCTTGTTTCTAAGTGCCAGAGAAATAATTAAAACTAGAAGGGAGCACTCCCAAAAGCATACAATATCTTGCAGCTCAAGATCCTGGCTGTAATCAGCTTTTGCCAATACGGTGCCTTTTGAAGACGAATTGGGTTTCAATCCCCAGAATTCCCACTCCATCCAATCTGGAAAAGGCCACGCCAGGAAAAACTGGTCCATTCTGAGCCCACAAACCCTGACAAAGTCTCGGCTGCTGTTTGACTGAGGGGGACCCAGCTGTGACCATGTTTGCAATTCATAGCTGCTGCACCTGCTGCTTTTTGCCTTGATCTGCTCTCCATTCTCTTACCAGCTTTCATCCACGATCTATGAAAAGTCAGGACACCAAACCCCAATACCCTGACACAGGATGAAATAGCTGCTGTCAACTGCCCCAGTGTGCATTTAAAGTCAGGAGGGCCATCTTCCAGGATCAAGGCTTGCAGTGTTGAGCTCTGAAGCTACTTTTTAGAGATTAAATGTTGGGAAAACCCCTAACTCCTGGCAACGGTGCTGGGCTAAAGCATATGTGCATGATAAAAATGCCAGATGAGTAGCAAAACATGCCTGCTGCTTCTGAGGGCAGGCTAAGAGGCTTTGAAATCTAATCTCCCTCTTCCCCCCTCCCCCTGCATATTTGTACACCTGCTTCCTTACTTATGAAGTTAGCACGCATCACAGTAGAATTAAAACAGAATCAAAGAGAGATGAGGAAAGGGCTAATATCTTCTTCTCAGCTGCCCAGATGCTACTCTGTAGTAATTACAACATGCCACAACTTTTCCAAGTTGGAGGATTTGATACTCCTTGGCCGGGTTGCCAGCTTAAAGGTGTAACAGGGCAGACAAGCTGTGATCAGCCCCCTGCCCTTGAAGGTTTAAAAGTACCTTATCAGGGAATTAGAAGTGACATGCCATGATGGACTGATCAAGCTAGCAAAAGCAGAAAAACAACTTAAGCAGTTTCCAGGTTTTTAAACCATCGGCTTTCATTTTAAAAGGTTGAGGGAGATAAATTAATTTAAATGTGGGATGGTGTAGAATTTTTTACCCTTGATTTCAGGATTCATGCATTTTCTAAAACAGCCTTCCACAACCTGGTGAGACTCAAATATATTTGATTTCCAAATTCCAGCTATACTTTTATGCAGGAAAGAAATTTGGGGAGTTATTTAACTGCACATCTGGAAGGGTCCAGGTTTGAGAATATATATATATATATATATATATATATATATATATATATATATATATATATATATATATATATATATATATATATATATATATATATATNCGACGTTTGGACGAAGTCCCATTCGTCATCTTCAGGCTGGTGTCTTCAGCTTCGTGCTTCAGGCTGAAAACACCAGCCTGAAGATGACGAATAGGATTTCGTCAAAACGTCGCCAAGACACTTCCAATTTTACGTGGGAGAAAACCCGAATAACCTACATA